ATACATTATATTATATTATATTGTTTATATCAAATTATTGATATTATTTATATTAATATGTTAGGTGTGTATGTGTGTGTGTGTGTATATAGCAATGTTATATAAAAAATAACATTGCTATATTATATTATTTTAATATATTAAGTATGTATGTCTATATATATTAATTGTATGCTTCTGTGGACATAAACAAACAAAAAATCTAATAAACAAACCATGACAGCTTATTTTATATAAGATCAAAATATATTAAAATGCTAAAAATACAAAAACAAATAAAAAATTGCATAATCCAGTCAAGTGTCCAATATAAATGATGTCTGTATCTTCAGAGAAGCTGTATTTTGCTTATTTAATGTGAGAAATAAAAAAAACACAAACAGCCACAGGTTGTGTTTTATCAGGTAGCCGTTGAGTTTCAGTCATTTTGAATACACTGTAAATTATTGAAACATTTCTGATGTACAGCTTCAGAAAATCCATCAACATGAGCTTCGGAAAAGGTTCATAAAATATGGAGGTGGTGGTGATATTATAATTTTACAGTCCATGAAACCTCTGTTTCAGAGATGGAGGCGCAAACCGTCGAGGAGCTCAAACAGCAGAAGGGCTTCGTCCGAGAGCAGAGACGACATTATAAAGAGATGAAGGACCTGGTGAAGAAACACCACAAGAAGACCACCGAGATGATCAAGGAGCACACGGCCAAATACAACGAGTTCCAGCACGACTACCTGCGCAAACGAGCCGTCCTGCTGAAGTCTGCCAAACGAGACGGTAAGAAGAGGTAGGTAGACGTCCACTGATCCAATCACTGTTGGGATTGAGAGGAGGAACGTCAGGAGAATTGTTACTTTCCTTTATTGTCCACAAGTGAAAATTTGTCTTTGGCTTCACAACATGTTATAACAAGACCAATATACTAAAAGCACTTAAAAAAAAATACAATAGAACATATCAACATTTCCCTTAGCATGCACATATGTGACCCTGGACCACAAAACCAGTCATAAGTGTCAATTTTAAAAAATGGAGATGTGTACGTCATCTGAAAGCTGAATAAATAAGCTTTCCATTGATGTATGGTTTGTTAGGATAGGACTGCTCCAGGCTCACATATACATATACATTCCCATATGTACATATATTTGCATACATATTAAACATTTTTAATTGCTCGGTTTTCTAAAACGTCACCCTGATGGCAACAACTGAAACTGGCAGTGCAAAGGGTGTAGCGAATGCTTTATAAGAACTAAAGCTTTTAGTTTAACTTTAGCTGTATAAGTATGATTGACTTGTTTTGTGTGTGTCTCGTCAGGTGTTTGTCGTCCAATCCTGAACACGGAGCCTCGTTCTTCGAGCAGGAGCTGGCCAATCTGGATCAGGACAGCGGACAGAAACTCTCTGAACTCAAAGAACAGCAGCAGCAGCAGCTCCTCAATCTGCGTCAGGAGCAGTATTACAGCGAGAAATATCTGAAGAAAGAGCACATCAAACAGGTCCGATTACACATGCAAATCGAGAAAAACATATTACTGAGAAAAAAAAAAGTTTTCGTTTTAAAGAGTTTTAAAGAGTTTTAAAGAGTTACATTTTTAATTGAAAAAAAAAGAGTAAATATAACAAATACAACAGGAAATAATCAAACCATGGCAATGATTTTAAAATCTAATTTAAATATTAAAATCGGAAAATGTAAAACAATACAGAAATGTAATGCATGTATGAAAATAATTCAGAAAGCGTGTTTCTTGTTTCAAAAATAGTATTAATTGATAATACAAATAATATTAATATTTGGATATTAATTAAAGCAATAACCCCCGTGAAGCCGTGGTTTACAGTGAATTTATAACAGCTAAGGGGCGTTGTTAGGCTAAAACCCCCTTAGCTGTTATAAATTCACTGTAAACCACGGCTTCACGGGGCTTATTGCTTTTATAAAACGGTTATTCCATATACGTAGTAAGGTTTCACAGAATAAAACAGAGCAAATAAAGTAGAGTACGTTAGTTAATATAAGAAAAATACTTAATGTTAATATACATAAAAAAATAATTCAACCAAGTGTGCAATATTAAAGATGTGTGTACCTTGAGAGAGGCTGTATTTGACTTATTTTATGTGAGAAATCAGATCTAAATTATTTAAGCATTTCTGATGTCCAGCTTTAGAAAACATTTCATCGTTTGTTTTAAATGAATTGGTCTGAAAGTGAAATGCTGTGTCTGTAGGTGATCGAGAAGCTGACGGCCATCGCTGAGGAGAGTCAGAGCAACCAAATGAAGAAAATCAAGGAGCTGTGTGAGAAGTGAGTCTGTTATGAATATCACCGGCTTCTTTAATGATTCATAAGGTCATGTCGAGTCACCCTCGCTGTCCCGTCTGTGTTTGCAGAGAAAAGAAAGAGCTGAAAAAGAAAATGGACAAGAAGAGACAAGAGAAGATCAGTGAAGCCAAATCCAAGGAGAAACACCTGACCGAAGAGTAAGACTTCATCTGCTCATCATCATGCTCATTTTGTGTACCAAATAAGTGATATTGTATATGTAACAACAAATTAAGTAATACAAACTATGTAATATATTTGGATTTAATTTTAAATAATAATCATCTAACAATATTATAATAATCTTTTCTGTATATGTGTATGGATATTACAAAAATATTAATAAATGACAGAAACTTTATATTATATGATATATATTAATATAAAATAATCATCTTCTAACTAAATGTGAACCTCTTTAGAGAGAGAGAGAAAAAAAAGGTTATTTTCAGGTTATTTTTTATTAATGTTCTGGGAGGCAATTAAAGGAACGGAATAGAGAGATTTTTATTATTCTTTATAAAACTGTCCTCTAGATGGCAATAAAACACTGTTAAACGCCTCACAAGAGTTTCTGTCTGGTTTCAGGGAGAAGCTGGAGATCAACAGGTCGTATGTGAACGAGGTGGTGCAGCACATCAAGAGGGTGAAACACTTTCTCCATTTCTCATCATCAAAACCAGAACAAATATGACTCTTCACACTTCACACTGTTTGTGTTTTCTGTCACTAGCTGGAAGACGCTCAGACTAAAAGACACGAGAAGCTGGTAGAAACTCATAAGAGCATCCTGCAACAGATATTAGACGAGAAACCCAAGGTAAGAGTTTACAGAGTTTTACTGCAATAACTAATAAAAAAAGTGCCGAAATGATCAGATTTCTGTCTGTCCCCTCAGCTGGAGTTTAAAGGGTTACTCCACCCCAAAATGAAAATTTTGTCATTAATCACTTACCCCCATGTCGTTCCAAACCCGTAAAAGCTTCGTTCGTCTTCGGAACACAATTTAAGATATTTTGGATGAAAGCCGGGAGGCTTGTGACTGTCCCATTGACTGCCAAGTAACTTACACTGTCAAGGTCCAGAAAAGTATGAAAGACATCGTCAGAATAGTCCATCTGCCATCAGTGGTTCAATCTGAATTTCATGAAGTGAAACAGCGAGCGTATGTTGTTCTACTTGTCTGTGTCAGCCGCGCCACACGGATACGTTTTCTACGTTTATTTACGCTTTGATTTGAACGAAAACAGCGTATCCGTGTGGCGCGGCTGACACAGACAAGTAGAACAACATACGCTGTTTACGTTCAGTGGACACTCTCCAAAATGGTGCTACGGTGACGCGGAGGAGACGAATTGTTGAATAAATTCGTTACTTTTGTTTTCTTTGCGTACAAAAAGTATTCTCGTCACTTCATGAAATTCAGATTGAACCACTGATGGCAGATGGACTATTCTGACGATGTCTTTCATACTTTTCTGGACCTTGACAGTGTAAGTTACTTGGCAGTCAATGGGACAGTCACAAGCCTCCCGGCTTTCATCCAAAATATCTTAAATTGTGTTCCCAAGACGAACAAATCTTTTGGGGTGGAGTAACCCTTTAATGTCACATAAATGAACACAGCAGATGATTATTATCACTGTTATTGTTATTGGAGCAGAACTCATCTAGTGAAAGTGAGTGCTGACCAATGAGATTTGAGTTTGTTGCATCATGATACTGTAGATCAGGGATGGGCAACTTTTTCTCCTTTATAGCAAGGGGCCAGATTACGAATCCACGTCCACACACCTTTTACACCGTCTTACCCAATTTCCTTTTTATTGAAGGAAATTAAAGTTTTTAAAGATTTTATTAACTATAAAACTTGTGTGCAGTTATGCTAATTCAGAAGGGAAACTTTGTTGTCAGTGGACAGAAATATTACCCTAACAAGTCTCAATTGCATTGTCTGTAAATTTGCAACAAACAAATGTACAGAGGTCCTTTTTTATTAGTGGCCTACAGAACATTCTCAAAACAACCTAAAAGGACAGTTAAAAAGGGCTTTTTCAAAAAAATAATTATTCCAAATGGTACCATAAAATAACCTGGTATCTGCAGGATTTTTAAAATCAAGTTTAAAAGTATCAATTATTATATTAATTTAAACAATTATTTTCAATTAATTATTATGTTAAATAACAAATAAATATATCTTAGTGTCTTAATTGTTTAGATTTTTATAATGCATTAGATTTTTGTCGATCCACTGGTTCACATTTAAAAATATGTAGCAAAAATAGCAGACAGTCTTATTGAAAATACAAATTCGCTCTCTGCCAGCAGGTTTCACTTTCGGAACCGCATAAATATAGCGGTTTTCCGGTAACAGCTGTACACTACACGACTTTGAAACGTGCAGCGCTCAAGTTTATTCAGTGACATCGTAGCCTTTTGAAGTTTAATCGTCATATTAATCCATATAGCAATTCTTGTCTTTCCGTCCCCAAATTTAAGACCTCTTATAATTAAGACTTTTTGTACCATTTAAGAGTTTTCATGGCCTTAAATTTAAACAATGAAGACTTTTTAAGGACCTGCGGAAACCTTAGAGTGCCCCTATTATGGGTTATGAAAGATTCATATTTTGGTTTGGGGAATCCCCAACAACAGGCTGACATGCATGCAAGGTCAAAAAAACACTTTCATTGTCTTATAATATGCATTTATTTTTACCTTACTTGCTCAACGACTCCCAAACGATTCGCTTAATGATACATTTTTCCAAACCCCACCTTTGCGTTACACTAATCTGGTCGATTGGTCTCATTTTCATTTCATCGTGCATGTAATGCATGATAAAGCAGCGTTTGTGAGCACAGTGCTGCTTTGTGTACAGCGTTACCGGGGAATGAATTTGCATTTTCAAGCTTCCCGCATGCAATATGCTAATGTTTCATGTTGAGGTCAACACGAAACGGCTTGGGATTCGTTTTTAAAAACGACTCGTTTCAATGATTCAGATCCGACTCTTTCTTTTGAGAGACAATAACTTTATACACGGTGCACTTTCAGATTTAAAACTTTGCAGGATGTTTTCATTCACTTAGAGTTGTGTTACACACTGCATGAAAGGTCATTTTCAAAAATCCATAATAGGGGCACTTTAAAATAGATCATCCGAGTATAATATGATCCAGTGGGCCGCACTAAAAGTTGCCCATCCCTGCTCTATATCTCCAGTAATATGTCTTAGTGAGATGAGATTAAATGGTCCAAACATATAATGCAATGCAGTCCAATAATGATTGAGTTGATGTTGATCACTTAAAGGCCTTATGTATCAAATATGATACAGTAGCTTTATAGGGTTAATGACAATTCAGTCATCATTGAAAGTCCTGCTAAAGACCTTCTGCAGGTTTATAACAACATGAGGGAACGATGACAGACTGTTCATTCAGGGCTGACCCTTCAAATATTAAACGCTTGAAATATTTCATAAGCTGTCAGGAGTATTTCAATTTGAAGCTGCTCTTCTCCTGGAGAATTTCACTGTGATCATCTGGCACATTTTTAGTGTGGATCCTAATTCAGAAACAGAGAACATGTGCTTTTCAGTGACAGTACAGATCTGACTCTATCTCTCTCGAAAGTTTGATTGGCCTGTGAGCTGTCACTCATCAGAACTGACCAATCATATTGCATGAAGTCAAGACTCTTGTCCTATAAGCCCTGAGCTTGTGAATGATGTAGTTTTGTGCTTTTATGCATATACAGTAACTCTCCAAATTCAGTGTTTTATGTGCATAACAGGAGTGATATGGTGAAATCTCTGCACTGATGTGTTTATTTGTGATTCCCGAGCGCTGCCGCTCTAAACGGCCTGGATCTGCTGCAGCATTAGTGGATATTGATCCGTATCTGTCAATACTGTCCCGTGTCACATTAGCGTTCATGCCATCGACTCTGAGGGTCTCCTGCGGTCAGACAGACACACATTCACCCACCGAACCGGAACCGCACCACATTTGCACTTCATGAGAGAAGAAATGCTGCATGACCATTAGTGCACTTTCACAATGATGATGTTTACACAGGGGTCTTATTATTATAGTAGTATTTTGTTCTTTCAACCTGATGTTTTTCCCTCTAATAATGTTCGTCTAGTTTTTTTTGTTTGTTTGTTTGTTTTTTTGCACCAAATTAATATTTAATGTATCATTACATTTGTTTTAAAAGTATGATACTTTTAGATTTATTATGAAATTATACCTATATTTATCAAATTCATATTTTTTTAGGGTGATTTTCCACCCACTCACTTCGTACAATTAAGCATTTGCTTTTTTCTTTGACATTTCCAACTTTTATTATTTATTCATGTTGTTTTTTGTCTTTTCTTGAAGTCCTTTAATAATGTTAGTGAGGGTGCTTGCACTGAATTTATTTTGAAAATTATGATAAATTTAAATGTATTTATGATATATTTAGGTTTGTTATTAAATTACATTTAAATTGATCAAATTGATTAATTTATTTTTTGGGACCATTTTCCACCCTCTCTCTCTGACTCAATTATTATAGTTATTAAACAGATTGTTATTTGTTTGTTTTTTTCATAGACTTTTACCACTTTTATTATTTATTACATTTTTTATTGAAGTCCTCTCATAATGTTAGTCAAGTTTTTTTTTGCTTAAAATTTATTTTAAATTTATAAGTATTATTTTTTTCTATTTGAATTTATCATTTTTTTCAGGATCATTTACCGCTCTCTCTCTGACTCTTACAATTAAACAGGCTGTTATTTGCTTATTTATAGACTTTTCCCACATTAATTATTTATGTTTAATTTTTCTTCCCTTAGAAGTCCTCTAATAATGTTAGTCAAGGTTTTCTGCACCAAAAACGGTCAAATTAATTGTTTTTCAAGAAGATTTTCCACCCTCTCTCAGACTCTATTTGCTTTTTTCATACACTTTTCTACATTTTATCATTTATGAATGTCTTATTGTTAGTTAACCTCCTTATTACTTCACTGTGACTGGACAGATAAAGTTTCCAAACATATAATAGGTTTTATTGATGTGTAAATGTGGCAGTTAAAGTGATATCTGTGGGATGTGAGTTTGAAATCAAGCTTTTTTGCAGTTGTTTCAATAAATGCTCATTTTGGACGTAGAGGAAGTTTTGTTTTCATAGAACACAAAAGTATTGATGTCAGCTGAAAAAGTATTGATTTTGATTTTGACTTTTCTTTTTTTTAAGAATTTCCTGTAGACTGTAACTTGAATATTCTGACCTGTGTTCGCAGCTCCAGAACGACCTGGATCAGGAATACCAGGACAAATTCCGGCGGCTTCCTCTGGAGATCCAGGAGTTTGTGCAGGAAAGCACCAAGAGAAAGACTGAGGACGGAGAGCAGGAGGTTCTTCCCTCTTCCTCCTCCACGCTGGAGAAACTCATGCAGAAGGGAGCACAGTCTGAAGACGACACAGAGGAGGAGAAGAAAGACTGATGTCAGAAACCTTCAGGATCTCTTCCCACTTCACTTTTACGTTCCTTCATTTCCAAACTAGAGATTTGTAAGGCTTGCGTTTACTCCAGCAGACGAAGGAGGGTTTGTGTCGCATCAGAAACATGGCTTCATGTCACGCTGGGAGATTTACATCTGAATTATTTCTAGTGTTCTGTTGATGTGCTT